ATCCATGCAGTTGGCCCAGATACACCAATTTATTTTTACTCTTAAGGTCGTTTGAGGATCTGTTCCTCAGGGATCACATGGGATTGGGAGGAGCCCCTGGCTCCTTTCTTTTACCGGTTCCGCCTATGTGAAGATACGTCAAAGGTCCTGCTTGACCATGGTTGGCTTTGCTTGGCAGCATGGAGGAAATGATTCCTCTGTGTTGACCCTCCTCTTTATAGACTGGACACTGGTTCAAGTCCATCTGATGGGGTCTCCTCAGCCTCCTTGATCAAGAGGACAGGTGACCCACCACCATTATAGGACATTTTGAGAGATGCTCATAGTCCCCTGGAACTAGTCGACCTAGGAGGGCAAGGAGCAAAAAGTGTCCTTTATGTCCCTCTGACCAAATTATTATACACCTCAAAGTATGTCTGTTAAACACCTACTGTTAGTTCCACCAGTCTGGTATTTTTAATTACTGTGTGTCATGTAGATATATCTTGGGCAAACCTTACCTAGATATATATTTCTTGATCTGCTATGTATAATTTGTCAGTAGGTTATAGGACAAACACTCTTTTAAAATAGTTCAATTGATTGCCTAGTAAAGGCCCTGCCATACTGTTAGTTCCACCAGTCTGGTATTTTTAATTACTGTGTGTCATGTAGATATATCTTGGGCAAAGATCAGTTGTTCTCAGGTAAACCTTATCTAGATATATATTTCTTGCCTTTAGTTCCTCACTTTGTCAGTAGGTTATAGGACAAACACTCTTTTAAAATAGTTCAATTGATTGCCTAGTAAAGGCCCTGCCATTTCATTTTCATTCCATTTCATGAACGAGAGAAGAGCTGCTTTTTGGAGCAGTCTGTAATGTTCCTTTAGAGAATAGTTGCTTAGATATCTTCACATGATCATATGGTTTGCTCACTAGAAAATGTTGAGAGCTTGGAAATGTAACCTTCATAATGATCTTACAAAAAGACCTTCATAATGATGCTTACAAAAGTGAGCATAAGTGTTAAAATTTTGAGAAGCACATTTTAATCAAAACAGATTAACCAGCACATATGTTAAGAATCAAATTTGATAAGAACTTTCATTGCATTTTAGTCAGCCTAATTCCTCAGAAGTCTTTTCTTCAATATGGTCATCAATCCAAAGTTAGAAGTAAATCAAACTTAAAACCAGGACTTCAAATCACTGTATATCAGAGTGTCAAGCTAAGACAGCGACCACACAGGCAATCATTCTGCTCTCCTGAAAATTTTAAATGAATTCTTGTGGTAGAAACATGTCCATTTTTAATAAAAAAAAAAGCCTTTTCTTTCTGTCTTTTAAATTTTTGTTTGTGTTTTATAGAAGCCGTGCTTGATTAATGTTTAAGATATTATCACATGAACAACCTCGAGGATGCAAGTCAAAAGTTACGTTTGTTGAGTGGCCAAAACAGTTCAGAATTCACTGACTTAAGCAACTTCAACTTCTGCTTTTACTTTCTGCTAATTTTTAAAATTCCAACTGTGAAACTGCTCTTGAGCACACACTCAAAACAAATCGACACACACTGACCCTGGAAAAGAAACCAAGGATAAGCCACCCACCATCACCCTGCAGTGTGTGTGTGTGTCTTGGGGGATGGGGGGAGGAGCAAGCCCTAGCCTTCTCTCCCCAAACGCATGTGCAGGTAGCACCAGACTCTGCCTGGGTAGGAGGCTGTCTGGTGAGGCTGGGGCTCCTCCCAGGTCTCATTCTGGGTAATGTGAGTCAGAGACTTGTGCAGGCCTGTGCAGTCCTGTCTGAGTCACCTGCCGGAAGCCTTGCCCTGGATCAAGGCAGATTTGAAGCTTTGTCCACAAAGCAGGAATCCTAAAGGCAGAAGCAGCCACCGCAGCAGGAGCTGCAGCGGGAATCTCACAGGTAGGAAGGAGGTTGTGGGGACGCTGTCAGATCCTCAGGTTCTCCCGACAGAACCTTCCACAGTAGTGCTCTGAGAGGCAGTGGCAGGGAAGGAGGAAAGCCAAGGGCTGGGAACCAGGCAGAGGAAAGGAGCCCAAGAATTAGCAGAAGAAGGAGGAGGTGGCCAGAAAGGAGAGCTGCAGGGCTACAAAGCTGTAGCGGTCACCTGGTCCCAGCTGTGCCAGATCTCCACTGCTTGGCGCCTGCTGCAGCTGGGTGTCTGTCCCTAGGTTGGGCCAAAGCCAAGGCCAAGGCTCGGAGCCCGGGGCAGGCAGGCTAAGACCGCCGGGTCTGAAGCTTGCTTCCTCAGTGGGCGGGTTCCGTCCTTCCTCACTGGCGCCAGCTCTCTGTGATTTGCTGCCCCACGGAAGTGTTGCTAATCCAGGCAGAGGATTTTGGTGACCTGGATGGGAGAGCTGGAATGTATGCTCCCGCGAGTGGGAGAAACCATGGGTGCAAAAACAAGATTAGGGTGCGACTTGCAGCTTTGCCAAGAATTTACTTGGGGCCTTTGGCTAATTCCGGAAAGTTTTGGGTCGGTGCTATTCTGGACAGGAATACTAGTGCCCCATGCCATATAACTTACTTGACCCCACCGGTCTCTTCCTTTATCCCTCCTCTCTTCCACCCCCCTACTCCTGCCCCCACCCTTCCTTTTTCTTTCCTTCCTTTTGTATTTTGTTCACTGACGGCTTCTCAACTTGGAAAAGAAAATGCTTCTTCACCTACCTCCGCTCACATTGTGATCACAATTATTCCTTTAGTTCCTCACTTCCCAGCTACTCCTCAGCCTCCAGAGGCTGCCCCAACCGTGGCCAAAATCCAGACCTCTCCATGGACCACAGGGACACATCCTTCCATCCTTCCAGTTTTCTCACTAGGTCCCTGATTAGTGGTTGCTGGGTCACATTTCTCTCTCTCTCTCTCTCTCTCTCTCTCTCTCTCTCTCTCTCTTTCTCTCCTTGCAAATATCAGGCATTCTCCATAATAAAGTGGAGTTCTCCTTCAGCGCCTCCAGCATCTATATGATCCTAGTCATTTCATCCACTGACTTAGGCTCTCTTGGATCAGGATGCCCGGGACTCCTAAACTCTTGCTCTGGCGTGCCTGCTCATCTTTTACCCTACCTAGATTTCCAAACGGCCTTGACTGTCTTTCTTACAGACTCAGTTGACCTGGTATGCTCTATACATCTCAAATGCATCACCTTCCCCATTCCAATCTATTTCCTCATATAAACTTCCTAGGGTTTATGGCTCATCCTAAGTGTGCCTTTAGCCAGGAGCTTAGGATTGATCCTTGCCTCCCCCTGCCCATTTCTTCTTTTGCAGCAGTCGCTCTACCTGACAACTCCACCTCCTGTTTCTCAAGCTGGGGTTTCCTCTGAGTGAGCAGTCACCAGTCCATGATAGTGGCCTACCAGCAGGTTCCAAAGCCCTTCTCCACACTAAACAATGAGCCCTGTCATTTTTCTAAATCCTCATGTAATAGATTCGTTTAAAAACTATGTATGGCTAACCAGTCCCTAGCTCATTGGTTGCACACAAACATGTTCTTTCTGTGACACTTTTTGTATCTGTCAATCTCTCAGCCTAAAATATCCCCCACCTCCACTCCGTGCCCCCTTTGCTCCACCTTCAGAATTCTTGCTCAAGTTTACAGCGCCAGCTGCTCTGGAAAGACTTCTTGGGATCCTACTGGATATTTTTTCCAGTTTTCTTTTCTCTTCCTTCCTTCCTTCCTTCCTTCCTTCCTTCCTTCCTTCCTTCCTTCCTTCCTTCCTTCCTTCCTTTCTTTTTATTGATAGAGTTTCTCTGCAGAGAATCCTTTGTAGATTATCTGCTATAGAACACACATTTCTGCATGAAATCACACATTTTAATATGTGTGTCATCCCCAGGGTATGTGTTCTTGGTTAAGAACTATGACAATTATTTTTCACATTCTTCTTCCCAAACTTGGAGGGAACGTGCTGCACAACACAATTCGAGTGCGTTCACTTCTGGAGGTGTGTCTGGGGAAGGGGTTTGAAGCAGGGCAGTCTCAGTGCTACACTCTCCCAGCTCACAGAAAAAGAAGGCTTGGTTCTCAGACTGTTCCTTTTGCTGAGTCCTATGCACAGTATTTAATTGTCTTTGTCCTTATTTCCCCACTTGTAAAAAGGAACAATAGCTTAATGCTAATTCATTCGACCAGCTGGATGGTCTTAATTGTGGAATGGCACTTAAGACTATTATTTTGTATTTAACTGAAATGAATTCCTTTCTATACTTCATCAGCAAGGCCAGTTTTACTTGAAATTTCAACCTTCTCAGAAGTTTTTATGTTCAAGTAAGATAGGAACAACAGGAATATCAGGAGTCTTGTTGCCACCTGCCTCCTGCCCCTGATTGACTATTAGGAGCAGGAGCTCTCTACTTGTCCTGATGTATGTGTGACCCTGCGATCGCTATGCAGTAGACAGGATGTACTATGCTACTGACCACCACCTGGGCGGTGAAAAGGAATAGAGACAAGGAAATGAGATGGAGGAAGAGGAAGTGTGAAGGAAAGCAGCGGTGGGAGTTTGCAATTAAGAGCGATTAACATGTAAGGTGGAGTTTCGTGCAATAATTTAGTTCATTCCTTTGGTCTGTTTGGACAAGATGAGGACACACACACACACACACACACACACGAGTGCAAAGCTCTTACCCTAAGATAAGATCGAATCTGAATTTTGTTTCCTTCACGCTTTGCTCAATTTTTTCCTCCTTCCGGTTTCTTTGGCGCCCTCTGGTGGATTCAGTTTTATGAAGTGTGAAGTTGATGACCGTTTGTTTTGGCTTTTCACTCTTACTTTCTGAAATGTACTCAAATGGGGCTGTGTGGGGCTGGAAGTGGCCTAGAGGAGGCTGGACTCTGCTATAGTAGAAGCTTGCCCAGGCAGAAAACATCACCTTCCAACACCTGCAGTCCTTGGCCCAAGATCCAGAGAGGTTTCATGTTGTGGGACAGGGAAGAGCTTTACATTTTACTATAATAAGTGACCTTTTAACTGTAAACTATGCCAACATTATGTGTTCTTGGTTAACATATTAACATATTTATTTTAAATTTTAAGGAATTTGCACTAATTTGGGCTGCTGATTTATGGAAAGTTACCTTTACATTTTCTAAACTATAACCATACTTTAAAAAAATCAGAGATGTCTTAACATTTTGGGGGAAACTTAAACAAACTTTTAATAGTGAAAATATTCCATTCTTCCAGTATGACCCATTCAGCTCCCTTTTTGCTTGTGTTCTGAGAGACCAGGAAGACAGAACTCCAAAAACTTAGAGTTCAACAGAATATGATTTCAATGCTACTGAATGAGGTATTTTGAGTCCACTGGGAAACTGGAAGAAGAAAGATCATATGTTGACCTGTCTGTACAGAGAAGTGAACATGTATATGATGGTTCTTAGCTCTAGGTGGAGATTCTAGTAATTCTATTTTTCTTATTTGCTAATTTTCCAAATTGAGATGTAATTTTCATGCTGGGTTTTAAATTTTCAGGGAAAATAACTTACTGCCTCTAAATATTGCAAGTATTGATAACCAGGGATTCTATAAAGTTAAGAGAAATAAATAGTGGAAAACAATAATTTGTTCAGATTATAATAGCTAATAATAATTAATAGAAATGAATAACCATAACATTCAATTATGATAATCCCGCAGCAGCATGTCAGGGAGCAAACACGTATGGGGTTTTATTTTTATTTTTTAAAATATATTATTTATTATTTTTATGTGTATGCATGTATTTCCTGCATGTACATAAGTGCACCTGTGTCATGTAATGTCTATGGAGGTCAGAAGGCAGTGTCAGATCCCCTGGAATTGGAGTTAAGGATGGCTGTTACATGCTGGGAACTTGACCTGGGTCCTCTGTAAGAGCAGCCAGTGTTCTTAACTGCTGAGCCATCTCTCTAGTCCCGATTTTTTATTTTTTATTTATCTGTGGTGCTAGAAGTAGAATTCAGAACCTTGCCAGTCAAGCCCTCTCTTTTGTTACTACTTCTAGACAACAGTGTTCAGGCTGGCCTTGAACATCTGATTCTTCTGTGTACCACAGTCTCCTGAGTAGCTGTAAATGTTTGTCTGTACCACTGGGCTAAGCCTAAATTAGGTTCTTTACTTTTCCAGAACTAGGTTAGTAAGACTGTCCTTGGATGGCTACCTTTCAAAGGGATAGCTTCAGGGGTTTGTGGGGATATAAAACCGGCAGGAGACTTTTGACGAGGTTTATACCTCAAAGGGGAAAAGACTAACAATTACAAGTTCTCTGAAGTGAAAGCTTTAAGAAAAGTGAGACAGGGCCCAGCCAGAGAAGTCTATTTAGTTTGTTTATTTAGTCAAGTTTAGCTTGATTACTGTTTAGTGACCCTGAAAGGAAGGTTAAAGGCGTCTTGGCTCTCTTTGCAGTTCCCCTCATGCAATTTTAGTACATCTTGTGGAAAATGTTGCATCATAATAGAGTCACGCTTATGAAAAGTAAAGTTTTGGTCTTTCCAGTGTTCCATATTTCAGGTTAAATTATCCAAAACGCATCCTCCAAATTTGGTGAAATTTATCCACCCATTTTGACATGACACAGTGACAGAAATCCAGCTGTATTTACAGGGAATTATTTATGATCCTTAGATCATTCTTTAATAATTATGTTAGGGAAATAAAACTGAAAGAGAAAACACTAATATGCTGTGTGTGTGTGTGTGTGTGTGTGTGTGTGTGTGTGTGTGTGAATGTGTGTGTGCTCACATGCATGTGCTCTGGAATTCAAGTTCTGGAATCAAGGTGAGCATTTCAGTCATTAGTGATTACTGTGAGATCTGGATGGGGCTTCTACACACTGTTCAGCTTTCTAGTTCCTCCTTGAGACAATGCCTTTCTGGACCTGAACACATTACTGTTGAGGTTGGCAGGTACTGAGAACAGTTCCTGAGAGTAAGCTCTGTTAACCATTTAAAGGAGGTATTAATCAAGTTATCAAGTTTTTGGAGGTTGTCTGAGCCCCTGTTTCAAAGAGCCCTAGAAATCATGAGCCACTGTTTGGTTACTTCAAACTCTGTGTAGCGGATAATGGTTTGGTATTGGTGCTATATTCTTTTCCCACAGATTCGGTGATTGCAAACAATTCAAGATTATTATATCAAGTTTCTAGTGGTCAAAGCCACCATGGTACAGCAAAACATTGTTCCCTCGGCCCCTACCAAGGTTTCAGGAGATAATCTTGTTTTTTTGCCCTTTCCAGCTTCTTCCTGGCATCACTGTGACCTCTGCCTGCATCTCCCTTTCTTTCTCTGAATCATGTTGCTTGTGTTTTGTAACAACCCTTGTGAGTCTATCACACTTACCTAAATAACTCTAGGTCAGTGCCCATGTCTAAAATACTTAATCACATTTGTAAAGTCTCTACTGACGGGTAAGACAATAAGACAACATAATCTTAGTCATAGGGGTTGGGAGTGGGTATCTTTGGAAGTTTAGCTGTTCTACCTAGTATACCTAGTATCCACTGATTGGTGAGCATGTGACTACAGGAGGGCTCTGATGGTGTGCTGTGCTGTGTCTTTGGTCCAGACTTTCCCAGATGGATGACCTCTGTGAAGCAAATGGCTCTTTTGCCATCAACTTATTGAAAATACTGGGCAAAGAAGACAAGTCACAAAATCTGTTCTTCTGCCCCCTGAGCATCTCCTCTGCCCTGGCCATGGTCTACCTGGGAGCAAAAGGAAACACCGCAACCCAGATGTCCCAGGTATCTGGCTGATTCTTCTGTACCTTTAGCCAGGTGATGAAAGCCAGTGTGGCCAGTGGACAGGACGAGGGACACTGTGGTGATCCTGACATGGGCAGACACAGGAACAAATGTGAATTGTATGGGATGGGACATCTCTAAATTTAGGTGATATGGAGGACTAAATTATTTTATCTAGGCAAAAATCATCAAACATTCTGGTAAAACTACATCTTGTATAAAGAAAGTAAATATAATCCCACACAAAGGCAAAAAGTAAACTTCAACTTTGCTATATGTTCGGTTTTTTTCTAGCTTAATGATTTTAAATAGAAGTGCTGATATGTAAGTGAACTTTTCATTAAATAGACTATTTTTAGGGCATGAATATGCATAAGTAGAAGAAAATGCAACATAAATATGGCTTAGTTTTTTGGGAGTTATTTAGAGGGAATGTATAATCTGCCAGATCTGAGGCAGTTATGTAAACCTTTATCTACAAATTAATTAGTGGTGATACTTCAGGGGCATTTCTTCAATCATCTGGTGAAACTTCCCCAGAAAATTGCCATATATACATCATTTTGCCTCTAACATCAGGGGTGTGTGGGCAGTCTCCAACAGTGCATCCAGGGACTCCAGTGAGATCCACCTCTGGTGGTTTCTACTTGCAGAACTCAATGGGGGAGGGAGACTTGACCGTGGAGGGTGGTTGGGGGACACAGGAAAAACTTTAGTTCTCATTTTGACTTGACATGCAAATTATAATCTGGTCTGGAACTATAAAGTTTAAGGTGAAGCATTTTCGTTTTTATTCCTACTATTTTCTTTTACTTTTGTTATCCCTGGCTTTATTAGAGTCAGTACCTCTTTCTGGTTTTTCTGCTATTTATCTTTCTTCAGTTGTCACACATGGTCTTGCTGGGGTGAATAAATCTATTAGAATAGTGGTTCCCACTCTAGGAGGGCTTTTGCTTCCCAGAGGAATTTTGGTGAGGTCTGGAGAGTTGTAGTTCTCCAATCAGAGAGGTTTTACTGACATCTAGTGGGTAGAGGTCAGAATGCTGCAAACATTCTACAAAGCACTAGATGGCTCCTGCCACAAACAATTGTCTTACTTCAAAGGGCAATAGTGGGGATGGTGAAAACCTTCATAAACAGTTAAACCAAAACTCTTTCTTCAATAGGAACATCTGGGATTTTCAGTCCTTTGCTTGGAGTGAATGGTAAAAATGAGCATTTTTTTTTCTATCTCTAGGTACTTTGTTTAAGTAGACGTGGAGATGTTCACCAAGGTTTCCAGTCACTTCTCACTGAAGTTAACAAAACTGGCACTCAGTACTTGCTCAGAAGTGCCTGCAGACTCTTTGGAGAAGAAACATGTGATTTCCTTTCGGTATGTAGAACTTGTGTATGGAGGAAAAGAAGTTTCAAATAAGGTGGAAATTATAAAATTAGAGAAGAGCAGGGAATGAAATCTAACTCTACCACCATAAACATGTGCTCAGAATTATACTTCTGTAATTTTGAATTTTATAATGCTTTTGAAGTACATCCTGTCACAATTGTTTCTGATATACAGTAAACTTAATAGAGCAAGCTTGGCTATTTCATTGGCTGAAAATTCCAAATGAAAAATGAAAGATTCAGATACTTCCCTGTCCTGCTGCAGTTGGCCTCCATCCCCTGCCAGCTCCCTGATTGGGGTGTACTTATCACTGCAGAGGATTCTGGATCCCAGAAATCTTCCAGTGAATCCAAGTTCCCTTTAATATCAGTTTTATATTTTAGTATCGGTTATGTAATTGATCATGCTCCACCATTTTCATACATATGGTTCCTAAAATATTTGAGAATAGGGTAAGGGCAGAGAGTGGGAGTTAATTGCCAGATAATTTTTTGCACGGGAAGTTATCTGGGTTCTAGTGTGTTGGGTAAAAATCCTTTGTTAATTTAACCCCAAGTTGCATTTCAACTTTCCTGACTTGCACAATGGTAGAGGGCCACATGCACATATATACTCATATATATATATATATATACACACACACACACACACACATATATATATGCAGCACTATGATCCAGATTTATCACATGCCACTCCAGGAGGACCTTCCTTGCTCCATATTCTCTGAATCAGCCATTATGTTACAGACTTAAAAATTGTTTACTAGTAAATTGACAGACTAATTCTTGACAATCTAGTTTTACTATGAATATTTTCAAAAATTAAATAGACATGTTTCAGATACAATTGGTTTGTGCTGGTAATAAACAAACAAAACAAACAAACAAAGGAGTAAAAGAGAATGCCTAATCGGTGCAGAAAACAGAAAATGAAAATCAATATGGAAGGCTTGCTAGAGACATTCCTGAGCTGATGCGGCAGCCTCAACATCTTCGAAGTATCTGTGTGTACAGGTGTCTTTCTTAATAGACTACGGACCGCTTAATCAGATGTCATGTTTTCACCTGGTATCCAGCACCTCATACAGTTTTGACCAGAGTAGGAGGGCCACACATTCTTGAGAATGATATGAATGCATCTTAAAATGCAGCATCACCTCTGCAAATGATTATGGTAGAAAAATAAGAGGAAAAACTTGTTTTCACAGTTGTGACAACATTTGCTCAATAGGACCAAACCCAGTGTTTGTGCTTGTAGACCTTCAAGGAATCTTGCCAGAAGTTCTATCAGGCAGGGCTGGAGGAGATGTCCTTTGCTAAAGACACTGAAGAATGCAGAAAACACATCAATGATTGGGTGAAGGAAAAGACTGAAGGTAAGATGTTTTAATTTTGTTGGACTTGGAGTTAGGATAGACTAGAAAGCTGAGGTGGCCTAGGCAGGGTCTTCCATGATATTACCCCTGTGACTTAGTTCCAAATGCCAAGTTGGTGTGTTTGCTGGCCTTTCAGGCCAACAATGCAAAACTTGTGTCTTGTGGGTGTGAATGCAAATTGATGAGCTTCTCAGATTTCCACAGGGAGGGGATAGGCCAACACAGACTGATATAATATCCAAACTCTAATTTAAGAGCATGGCAGTATTTCAATCCCAATATTTGGGAAGCTGATGCAGGCAGATTTCTGTGAAATCAGCCTGCTTTACATAACATCTGGGCTATATAGAGCCACCCTGTCTTAAAAACAAACAAAACAAAACTAGTTTGCTAGTTTTCTTGAGATTATCAGATAATAAGCAGTGATTAAAAAGCAAATCTAGAGCTGGGCATGGTGATGTGGGCCTTTAATCCCAGGACTCTGGAAGCAGCAGAGGCAGGAGGATCTCTGTGAGTTCAAGGTTGGCCTGGTCTACATAGTAAGTTTCAGGTCAACTGGGACTATAGGGAGACCCTCTCTCTCAAAAAAGAAGCAAATCTAAAGTTAGGATCTCAGTCCCTTATTCTTTGGACTGTGCTAGAAAATTTCCTGGATAATGATTTCTTTTGGGGGTCCTGCTAATCTTCTGTCTTGGGGGATCCTGCCATGCCCTTACATTAGAGTTTGGATATTATATCAGTCTGTGTTGGCCTATCCCCTCCCTGTGGAAATCTGAGAAGCTCATCAATTTGACATTCAGCCCTCACCTTCCTCTTTAACTTGACTGTGGCTATAGTTGTTTTCAGAGCATAACCTTTTCCAAATTTGCTCCAGAGCCCAGATGTGTGGCTAACACGAAGAGTGCAGTGTTCCCTGTCAAGATCATATTCCATCCCCCAGAGATATTTTGACCCATTCTTGACCTGAGTGCAGAGCAAAAGGGGGCATGGTTTCAAGGACCTTAATTAATGAACAAGACATTTAAACTTCTGAGATGTGGAGGAGTTAAAAGTCACTTGCTTCATCAAATGATGACCTAGTACTCAGTATTTCATCCATTTAATCTTTACGGCACACCCAATCAATGTGTGCTGCTCAGCAACAATGCCCTTGACTATACCAAAAGGCAGTAAAATAATGAGCTTGAGAAGGGAAGAGCCTTTCAAGTTCTGTAAATCATCTGTCCAGCAGACTCTTGTTCTTCAGTTGATGAAACACTAGTAAGCCACTAAAGGCATTTCTGTGCACCTTGCCCTCATGCAACATCACTTCCCCGCTAAGTCTCCTCAAACACTTCTTTCCTATAGGCTGACTACTTGCAAGCTTTCTGAGAATATTAGCACTAGAGGTTACCTTGGAGATAACATTGGTTTCTTTTATTGGACAATTCAACTTGGGTCCCTCTATTTCACTCTTACTCCCGATTTCTCTGTCCGCTTTACTCCTTTTGGTAGACATCCTTCCTTCTCCAATACCGTTCTATAGTTCTGATCCTTTGGAAGCCTCTCCTTATATTAATGAGATCTGAAGATTAATACTGAGCAGTGACTTTTAGCCAGGGCTAGTTTTACTTTTCAAATGACATTTGACAACGACTGAGGATATTTTTGGCTGTCGTAATTGAGGAAAAGTATTACTAACCAAACATCCTACAATGTAGCATAGAGCCCTTCCCAATCAGGATCTGCAACTAAAATGTTCATATAGTGCAATTGAGATTTAGAGTGCTGGGACTAAGAGTCCATAGTCAGAATAAAGACTACTGGGTTCTTTTCTCAGTCTAGTCAATTGTTATCTTTGTGAACTCAGCAAAATGTCAGGGAAATTCTCGGATTCTCAATTTCTAAACACATACACAGAAGGATAAACCGTGGCTGCACCATCTACTTTAGATTGTTTTCTAGAAAAATCCCACCAGCATGGAGGGGGGAGGTGGGCAGAAAGCCCCAGGCTTAGGTGAAGAACTATTCACAACTGGTAGCTTCTGAGAGAGGGAAAGTTGGTTTTCTTTAAAGGTGTGACCCTGAGTAAATTGACCACAATCCAGGGGATAGACCCACACCCAAGAGTATTTGGGATACACAAATTGGACTTGATAGGCTTAAAAAATAAAACCAGAGGACATGACATAGAGAGGGGTAAGGAGAGATAGGGAAGAAAGTCTGAATAGGATAAAAAAATATGATATTCTCAAAGAATGAATAAAAACATTTAAAACAGATTGTTGTCTAAGCATGACATGCTGGCATATACTTGTTATATCAACACTCAGGAGTGTTGCCACAGAGCAAGTTTGAGCCCAGCCTGAGCTAAGTAGCAAGACTGTCTTATAAAGAAAAGAAAAAAAAAAGATATTGCAACTTCTCAACCAAGTCTGGGCTTTATATGTCAAGAATGTTATAAGATGATGTTTATCGACCACTCTCCCTCCCCCAAATCGCTATAGACTTCTCTTGTATTCTTTACAGGTAAGATTTCAGAGGTGCTGCATCCTGGGACAGTCGACCCACTGACGAAGCTGGTCCTTGTAAACGCTATGTATTTCAAGGGGAAGTGGAAGGCACAGTTTGACAGAAAATACACAAGGGGCATGCCCTTTAAAACTAACCAGGTAGGGCAATATTTCTTATATGCAGTTATTTTCTTAAAGTAATAAGTTGGAAAAGGTGATGAATGGAAAAATGAATAGTTTATTTTACATCATCTTGATTCTTAATCTATTTCTGAGTAAAACTAATACTGCCTCTGTATCTTTAATCAGAGAGCTATACGAAGGGAAACTAGAATAGTGTTTGTATTGATAAGTTCCTACTTTCCATCCTTGGTCATCCATCTTGCCTCTCTGATTAAATGGTTTGGGTGGCAGGAAAATTCCCTCTGAGCCTCGTCCCTATGCCGGTGTTATGTGGTCACTGTGTTCGCTGCACTTCCTTTTGCAATGCCAATGGCAGATATGCCTGTTTATGGCTTTAGGATTCAAGGCTATAGAATTCTGAAAGGAAGAAAAACATGTTAGCAGATGTTAAGCCTAACTTTATAAATAATTTTCTGCCTTCCTGTCAAATGTGAAATGGAATTTGACTTCCATCAATCTAAAAATAGCACATTACACAGAGGTGTGGAAGTTAAAATATATTTGATACAGCTTTAAAACTGGCCAACTCTATACACATGTCATGGTCCCATCACTGAGAAAGCCACAGCTGTGAAGCCAATTATATAACTGGGAAGTGTTTCAGAGTAAAAGTGCTTCTCTTCTTGGTTTGCACATCTTTTAAGAGCAGATCTTTCAGTCAAAGGGCTGAATATTAGTTAATCCTCCTCTTAGAGAACTAACTTTTAATTATACGGTCCATGGAAGTGCTTCTCTATGACTTTTAACTCAATTTCTTCAAAAATAATGTCATTTTATTTCTTTTTATATAATTTAAAAAATATTTATTTTTATTTTATGTATATGAGTGTATTGCCTGCATGTACGTAAGTGTTGGCAATGCCCCTGGAGGTTATCAGATCCCCTGGAATGTGAGTTATGGACTGTTGCTAGCTGCCATGTGGATGCTAGAAATTGAACCCAGGTCTTCTGCAAGAGTAATCAGTGCTCTTAACCACTGAGCCCCTATATTTATCAAACTGTTTTTTCTTACCTAGTGATACCTCATCTGAGAAGCAGCCATATATTCTACTCAATATTACAATTAACTTATGAAGATTTTACATGTAACAGAATAAAATCACAGAATGAATAATTATACTTGTCTGAGTTCTAGGAGCTGGAGATAGCTTGTATTTAGTAAGTTGTACTAATTATTTTAGAAATCTAATTTTAATTTCATTTTTGTTAGGAGAAAAAAACAGTGCAGATGATGTTCAAGCATGCTAAATTTAAGCTGGGACATGTAAATGAGATGCACATGCAGGTCCTGGAGCTGCCCTATGCAGAGGAGGAGCTGAGCATGGTCATTCTGCTTCCCGATGAAAACACTGATCTTGCTGAGGTGAGTCCTGTGCATAGCATGTGAGTGTCTGTGGATGCCAGTTATGTTCATTTCTCTAAGTCCATGTACTAAGTAATATGTGCATATTTTCCAGCTAGGAATTTCTTAAAGTAATTCTGGATAAAGACCAATGCATGCCTTTTATTGACTATTTCTATGTATTTCTGTTGAGTGCATGTCTAGGGGTATACAAATTTAGATGAAGCCAAGATGGAAAAGTTCCAAAAATAGAACTTTCTTTTTTAATTAAGAAGAGTTGGGCTAGTTTCTAGCACAATAATTCTTGAGCAAATGTCCTAGAGAGAAGGATAGAGGTTGATCTTGACAATGTTTCTCAAATATTAATGTGTGTATGAATATCCTGGGGACCATGTTAGAAATGCAGGTTCTGATTCAGCAGAGAAGGGCTTGAGATTTTGCATTTCTAACAAGATTCCAGATGAAGCAGATGCAGCTGGCCTATGAACTGCACTTTGAATAGAAGTGTGGGTGAGGGATTTACTTTTCATCAGACAAAGAAGTTTCTTTACGCAGAAGAAGAACAAAATCCAGGAAAGGAGAAACTTACAAAGTGGAAGGTGTAGAATCAACAGGGATAAGCTGGCTCTCAGCAATGGAGGAAATCCTTGCTTTAAATAGGCATGTTGCTGTGGTGTAAATACTCCTATGGTAGCTGACTTTAGGCTACCAAGTACTTCAAATCAATACGAGCCACCTGCAGCACACTAGTGAACAGAATTGGTGGTGGGGCTGCTTCATTTCTTTGGTTTCTCAATGGAATCAGAAAGCTGTTGGTATAAGTCAAGAATGAAATCTGTCAGGGCCACCTAAGAAGAAATGTAGAAAGTCTGAAACAGAAGTAGAGTCAAAACATCTGTTACTAGATGTGAGGCCTCCTTACTTTTAAGGGATGAGGAAATGCAAATGCAAGGGGAGGGGACAAGGGTGTCAGATTCAACGTGCTATTGAATTCCCCATTTCTGCTCTCCATTCCTAGAAACCACATCTCCCCCCTATGTAAAAACAATAGTGATTTCTGCCTTTCACTGGAGTTGCTCCTAGATAGCTCTGTGAGGACTCAAAGTCACATCTGAGCTCTGAGCCCTGCATGCCCTGTCTTTCTTTTGACATCTCTTCAACTCATGTAGTGCTATGTACTGTACTGTGTGGATATCAGTATCACCAAGTGATGATGTTTTCCTGTAATACTAAAATTTTAAAAAATATTTGGAATGAATTTGGTGTAGATTTTTTGAATTAAATCTTCCTGTATGTATCAAGGATTTTCTAGCTCTTTCCCAAAATAGATTAAAGACAAAAATTCGAGCTAAAATCTTGGTGTGTTTATAACAAGAAACAAATCTGTGGATTGTCTTGAGTGAGAATTTATCACCTAGCTCTGTGTCATGGACCAAGAAAGATAAGCAGGTGGTGAGCACCAGTCAACGGTCCTCCAGATTTTAAAATCTGACCTCTTGCCATTCTAGGTGGAAAAGGCACTTACTTATGAGAAGTTCAGAGCTTGGACAAATCCAGAAAACATGACAGAAACAAAAGTTCAAGTTTTCTTCCCCAGATTAAAGTTGGAGGAGAGTTATGACTTGGAGTCTTTTCTTCAGAGTTTGGGAATGACAGACGCCTTTGAGGAAACCAAAGCTGACTTTTCTGGAATGGCAAATAAGAAGAACATGCCTGTGTCCAAGGTTGCCCACAAGTGCTTTGTGGAGGTCAATGAGGAAGGCACAGAAGCAGCTGCGGCCACTGCAGTGGTCAGGAATACCCGGTCCTGTAGAACAGAACCAAGGTTTTGTGCAGACCATCCATTCCTTTTCTTTATCTGGCACCACAAAACCAGCAGTATCTTGTTCTGTGGCAGGTTCTCTTCTCCATAAAGGTCTTACTGCAGGGCTGAGGATATAATTCAGTTGGTAGCGTGCTTACCTACCATGCACAATGCCTTGAGTTCAATCCTCAGCACCTTATGAAATTGGGCATGGTGACCCCTGCCTACAATCCTGGCACTTGGGAGGTAGAGGCTAAAGGATCAGAAATTCACAGTCATCCTCAGCTATATAATGAATTCTAAGTCAGTTTGGAGTACATGAGACTCTATAGCAAAAAAAGAAAAAAAAAAGTGTGTAATGTGTGATTGCAATGCACACCATCCTTTGCTACATACTCTGATTAAAATTCCATGTTGCCAAACTGGCAAAATGGCTTTAATGCCACACTTTGAGGTGCCTGTTGCCTGCACTTTTATTCACAGCCCAGCTCTTAAGCTCTCTTCTGCCTTGTGATACTCTCCAACCTGTGCTCACCATTGCATCATATTTTCTGACTAAGAATAATTCATGTCAAAGCAAAAAATTGTAAATTACAGGAAAATGTACAAAGAAAATTTAAGTCACCCACAATTCTACTAACCAGAGATCACTGTCATTATGGAGACACATTATCTCCTACTGTGTATGCAGATATAAATTTGCACAAGTAAACCTTAATTTTTGTGGGTTACTTCCACAGTTATTTAAGATGATTATCCTTCCATGTCAACAATATGCTGTGCATAGCATTCCACTGAGTGGCTGCATTTTCTATAACAGAATCTCCTTGGGCAATTTGGTAAACTGAATATACTGTATTGAATATACTCAGTATTTGCTTATTCTCTTAATGTCTGAACAAAAAATACTGAAAAATGATACTACTGTCAACATAGAATTTGAATACATTGTGGCACTTCCAAATTGATCTCCCAAAACTTGAGCTTGCTTCCACTCACATTTCCATTTCCACTACTACTAACCATTGCTGTCCCTGTTGTTTTTAATGAGTCAGCTAAACAATAGTGACCCATGACTTTGTATTTCATTAACATTTGACATGCCAATGAACCCATGCATGATGTAGTTCCAACTTAAATCTCATATATAGTATTTTCAGGCCACCATCTCTTCAAGAAATATGCTTTCCAAAGCAGGTTTGGCCATAACCCAATATAGAAGAGTAAAAAGTGTGCATCTGTAAATTTTGATTTAACTTCCATCTCATTTAAAAATATAATTTTAAATGGGGTATGGTGGCACACACCTTTAATCCCAGTACTTGTAAGGCAGAGACAAGTGGATCTTTGTGAAACTGAGGCCATCCTAGTCTATATAGTGAATTCCAGGCTGGTTGGAACTACAGAGAGACCTCACATAGTAAGGTATAATTGATATGGAATAATTTTTACATTCCTAACATGTACAGTTTGATAAGTTGTAATATATGTATGTACTCATGATTCCATCTGAATACTTTAAATAAAGATAATATCAATCATACCCGCAAATGAACCTTTGTAACCTCTCTGTCTTTCCTTTCTATGTCTTATTATAGCCACATAATTTGTGTTGTGGAATCATATATCATCTACTCCTTTTTGTGTTGTTTCTATGATTCACTGAAATTATTTTTAGATTCTCCTACACTGTACATATGCATCATCAGTTTCTTTGCATGTATATGTCACTGCATGGTTTGTAATGACAAAACTGACTCCTTTTTATTCTAGCTGACTTTTGCTTACCCTGTGTTTCTGCCCAGCTGCCCATTCCCTGCTCTAGCTGTAGCCAACCAGGCAGAACCACGAAGGCTGCACTTGCATTTTCAGGGAGTACATTGTTTCTACAATCCTGAGAAACTTACAACCAGCCAAGTAGAATGGTCTCTTATCTAGTTATACCTTCAGTTGCAGGAAGCCCATTGTTTCTGCGATTCTGAGAAACTTGTTTTTCTCTATCAAAACTTAGGTTAGAAAATTAAAACCTTTTTGTTAGCTGAAAAGCCCTTTGTTAACTGCCTGGTGAACTGATGTAACTATGGTTATTGACTTTGCTCCTGGCTTGATGTAATTGTGATTTTAGACTTTATAAACCCTTCCCTGCCTTTCCTTGGGGTTAAAAGTTTTTTTCTGGGGACACTCCCTTTTGACCACCAGCTTCTTGGTAATTATTAAAGGACTCTTAATTCAACCACCACTATGTGGCATTCCTCTGTGTCTCATTCTTGGAATTACATTTCTGGAGGCACCCACAAGATCACCACTCAAGAGGCTCAACCTCACTCCAGATCTCCCTGGTTTGGTGAATTGTTACAGAAGAGGTGTCCCCTGAGATGTTTCAGGGCTCTATGACCCTCATACCAGGGCCAGACAGTTCTGGAATGACTATTGAGTGACCCTGACACTCAAGTCCTTCTTGTCCTCCTAGGAAGTAAGTCCTGGTCTGGTCTTTAATAATGGGAGTGTGATCTGACAAGGACCCTCTTCCAAAGTTTATAGACAATTTCTCAATAGTCAAGACATTGACTGAGAAAATTTCAGTAAGAAGCTTGTTACTCTGGTCTTTGTTCATGTCTGTTTAGTGTACATCGAAAATTGTATGACTGGGTTATTGGGCAGTCAGAGAAAGCTAGAAAAAGTCCAACTCAAAGATATGTAGTAAGTTGTAAAAGGCCAGAGAAAATGTGAACTTTGTTTGCTTTGATTTAATTTTGGTTATATATTTTCATGAGATGAAAAAGAATGGTCATTCTTTATTGCAAAATGTTTCTGTTCAAAATGGAATTATACTCTTTAAAGGGAACGATAAGGAGAACTAATGTCATCCCAGGTTTATGATGATCACTTCAAGTCAATGTTAACCGTTATATGAAATAGCTACCAATGACCTCCTCTTAGCTACTGCTGACTCAGCCCCTTGCCTGTAAGACACCCAAGACCTGATGCAGCTGCTCTAGGCCTTGATGTACCATTTCTCCCTGAAAAAAGCTCAACTTGACAGATAGAGGTCTCCTACTTGAGGTATGCCCCACAATGCATTGGAGGCCCTCCCCTGGGAAGAAAATGGACAATGAATGTCAAATGCCCACATCACTCAGTCCAGAGACTATTCCTTGATCACCCCTGTCTCAACCTGGCAGCACTGATGTCTGAAAATAACCTAGAGGTGCCCCTACATGATGATTATCTTCTGGACATCTCTCAGGTGAGTTGTTTAGACTCCCAAGACCCCCCTTACTTGATACAGATGCCAATTTATTCATGAATGGAAGTGGTTTTGTGATTGGAGGAACCTGGAAAGTCAGAGCCGTGGTGACTATTTGACAGGATGACGCCTGGGCCCAAGCCCTACCCTAGGGTACTTTCACACAAAAGACTGAACTGAGTGCCTTCATTTGGGCTCTATGCTGGGGAAAGAATAAATGGGTGAACATCTTCACAGACAGCAGGTATGCCCTGGCCACCCTTTCATGTCTATGCCATGATCTACAAGGAAAGAGGACTCTGATACTTCCATGGCAAAAGCCAAGTGTCCCAGCAGGCTGCTGGACTCCGTTGAGCCACTCCCATTCCCAGGAAATGAAAAATGACCCCATAGGATGATGAACTCTGCCAGTCTTTAGAATCGTTCTTCCTGTAGTCCTTAAGGACCAGCTTCATCAGATAATACACCTAGGTGCTACTAAACTGGCTGATCTATTTTCTGGTATTTGTGGGCACATTCTCCAATTGGGAGGAGGACTTTCTCTCATGGTGGTAAAGAGCCTATTACATGAGATAATTCCTGGATTTGGGCTGCTTCTGTCACTTGGCTCAGATAATGGACCTGCCTTCACCTTGCCCATAGCCAAAATGTTCAGCAAAGCATTTAATAATTGTGCTTATTGGACCCAAAGCACTGAATGGATTAAATTTATGAATCAGATTATTTAATTTACCCTCTTTAAATTAATCTCTACTGAATAGTTACGCTCAGCACTTTTATGTGGTCATTTGTTATCCATAATATGGCCTAATAAAATATTGTTTTAGATTTCTCACCCATATTTTATATCTTCTTATTCTGTTATTTTATTTTGAGAAGCAGTGCTACGAAGAAAAAATGATCAGATATATGGTTTGTAGAATTTTTTTCTTTTAATTACAGTTCATATCTTGGACTGTTTTACAACAGTGCTTTTAAATTTGATGAAATGCAATGTATTATTCCTGATGTATAATGAATTTCTTATTGTATCTAGGGGCTCTGTTTAACTCAGGGTCTCAAGAACTACTTTTGACATGTCTTTTAGACATGTTAGTACTATTGAATTTTAAATTTAGGCCTATGATCCATTTTGAGTTTACCTATGTTGGAAAGACTATTCTTTCTATACCTCATTACCTTAAAAGTCAAGAGTTCATGCATATATGGTTCCGTTTTTGAACAACTGTATTTCATTGATTCACCTCTCTATTTTGATGCTACTAATACCACATTGTCTTGATTACTATAGCTTAGTAATGAATTCTGAATTCAAGTAAGCCATCCAACATTATGCTTATATTTTCAAAACGATTTAGCTATTTTTTAGTCCCTTCCGTTTCTCTTTGAGTTTCAGGTTTAATGTGTCTGTTTGTATAAAAACTTGTTAGAATATTGATTAGAATTGTGTGGAAATTATATATAAATTTAGAGTGGATTGACAATCTATATTCCAATCTATAAACAAAACATAACTCTTCATTTAAGGCTATCTTTATTTTTATTTTATAATGAATTTTTGAGATTTTCATACAACATAGTTTGATGGTATTTATGTCCTTTCTCCTATCCACACCTCCCTCGCTGTCCCTTGCCCTACTTAACATACTCTCATATAGCTAATACAACCTATAGTCTGTTTTGTGTCCCTAAATGTCCCTCATTGTGGGTGTATCCACTGGGCCCACCAAGAGTTCTATCCCTGTAAGATGCTGTCTTTCCTCCTCGCAGCAGCCATCAGTTACCAAAAGTTTCCTGGGCGCTGGTTTGGGATTTCTTACCCATTTCTGCATATCTAGGCTAGGATTTTTTTGTGGTTTTGCTTTTCATTTTTGTATTTTTCAATATAGAGTCCACAATTTTTGTCATATTTATCCTTAATGTCTCCTATGTTTTGCTATTATAGTGTTATATTTTACTTTTAGTTTCTGATTCTTTGTTGCTCATATGCATACATATAATTGGCTTTTGTATTTCAATCTTGTTTCCTGTGGATGTGATAAAGTCAGTTCTAGAAATGTATTAATTACTTTGCTCATGGCTGTGATCAAACACCTGGAAAGAAGCAACTTAAGAGAGGAAAGGTTTATTTTGGCTTCAGTTTGAGTGGATCTTGCCCATCATGGTGAAGAAGGCAAAGCGGCAGGAGGATGAGCTGGCTGGTCACATTGCCCCTGTAGTCTAGAAGCAGAGAGGGTCAGGCAGGAGGCTGGGGTATGGAGCCTCAAGACTTGTGTCCAGTGACCCACTTCCTCCAGCTAGGCCCTGTCTCAAGTCCCATCTCTACCTGGGCACCAAGTGATCAAACACATGAGTCTATGGAGGAAATTTTCCATTCAAATAAATAAATAGCTTTTTTTGTAGACTTTCTAGCTCTAATAAAGAAAATCCATCTTTTTTCCTGTCTGGATAATTTTCATTTATTTTTCTTGCCTTATTGGATTGGTTGTTGATTTGAAGCAGCAAAACACACATCTTTGTTTTGTTTTAAATTTTAGAGAAAAACATATATAATTTCTCATCATTAAATATCATGTTAGATGTAGGTTTATCATAAGTATTTTCATTAACTAGTTTTTATGTGTCTTTGAAGTGATCATATGTTTTTGTTTTTTTTGTTTTTTTTTTTTTTCGGTCTTTTTGAGACAGGGTCTCCCTGTAGCCCCAGCTGTCCTGGAACTCACTATGTAGACCAGGCTGGCCTTGAACTCACAGAGATCCACCTGCCTCTGACTCCCGAGTGCTGGGATTAAAGGCGTGCACCATCACGCCCAGCCTTGGGTTTTATTTTTAGGTTGTTAATGTTGTGATCAATTTTTGAATGTTAAAAACTTTGCATTAGTAGAATAAACTTCACTTGGTTTTTATGTATTTATCATATTATGTAGTGGTGGATTTGTTAAACTACTTGAGGAATCTCTCATCCATTTCCAGGAGGGACACTGGTCTATGTTTTGTTTTCATATTATCATCCTATCTTTTCTGTCTTGTTTTAGAGTAATTCTGTCCTCACAGAATGAACTGAGAAGCATATTTACATTTTCAAAGTTATGTAACAGATTTTGTGTAATTGGCAGGTTAAATGCTGTCATCAGAAATGCTTCTTCCAGGTTAGCTCTTCTGGGTGTCACCCTTCTGTTATTGAAAAGTGATGATGTCTTCAAAGCACCTTATAAACTTTGTCCATTCACATGTGGAAATGATAATGTTGGTTACTGGTACAGGTGGTTTATGTTATCTCTGCTGCGTAAGTAGGTCTATTTTATTAATAGATCTTGCTCAGAAAGTGAGGCTATTTGAAATACTTGATTTTCATAAGCAAATTTATTAGCTCTCAAATTCCTGATGGTGAAAGATTCTTATTGTGGATTGTGGAAGAACAGAAGAGCGACAGTGTGGTAGCAGAGATGCCAAACAGACAGGGAATGAAATTCAGGGAGCTGAAGAAGACAGATTTGCAACGTGAAAAGTTGTCAAACCATGGGAAATGTTTATATTTAAATATTAATTCTAGTGATATCATTTAAAGAGTTTTAAGGTCAGGAAGAAAACACTTAAATTTAAACTTTCTAAATATAATTTTGTTTTCTGGATGGTAAATAAAGATTTTAAAGGTTTAATTTTTAAAAATTATTGTGTATGTGCAAGATCTGTGTGTGGGTGGGTACATGTGTGGAGGTCAGAGGACAACTCTGTGGAGTCAGTTAAATGGGGTAGGGGGGAAGGAGGGCAGGATAAGAAAGGGAGTATGGGAAGGACAACTAACACTGATGGCCTTTAAAAAAGTCATATGGAAACCTACTACTGTAAATATACATATACAGTTATGTAAGATTCAATGGAATTAGTCTAGATAATGGTGGGAGAGACAATGGTCATACCATACACCACAGGCCCTGTGGGCTACCTCTTTTGGAGGTGTTGGCCACAGAGGTGCTACAGACCCTAAAACATTACTATTAATATTACTATTGATTACCTTCTAGAACTGGAATGTAAGACCCTATTGCTGAAGTCACTACATACTTGAACCCTAGAACATGGAGAAATCAAACTGCTACTGACCTTAAAGCTTCATTCATGCTGGTTAGCTTTCATAATGCTGGGAAGTGCTATGGATACTACTGAAGAAGAGTAATAAGAGTAATAATCAGTCTTACCCACATGTGAACCCTGCAAGCTTCAATTACCACTGGCTTGGCAGTATATGCTTACTGGTATAATAATGGCACCAATGTTATGAAAGTACCTAAACACTTTATTATTAGATTTAAGACCTGTTCTGCAGTATTGAATTCATAATAGCAAATGGCCATTAACAGAGACCCACACATGCATAGGAAAAGAGACTGTGAACATCTATACTGGGCTCAGAGATCATTAAGGAAAAGGGGTTAGAAAGACTGTAAGAGCCAGAGGCAGTGGATGATTACAACAAAACAATATTTTATAGACTGAACTCACAGTGGTTGTGACAGCATGTACAAGACCTGTGCTATTCAAGCCAACTAAAATACCAGCATAGGCAGGGGAGGTGGACAGAAATCCCCATCCCTAGCTGAGGAAATATTGGCAATTGATAGCTATTAGGAGAGGGAAAGTCACTTTTCTTTAAGTGTTTGACCCCTGGAAAATTGACAGTGCTCCAGGGCATTGAACCCATACCTATGAGTATTTGGGGGACACAAAGTGGATTTGATGAACTTTAAAAAAATAAAGAGGTTCTTGCTTTGGCAGCACATATACTAAAATTGGAACCATACAGAGAAGATTAGCATAGTCCCTGTGCAAGGATGACACGCAGATTCATCAAGCACTCCATATTTTTATATAAAAAAAAATAAAGAGCAGGGAATGGAGAGATGGCTTAACAGTCAAGAGCACTGGTGTTCTTGCAGAAGACCCGGGTTGGAATCCAAGCACCCACATGGTGGCTAGCAATTGTCCATAACTCCACTTCCAGGGAATCCAACACCTTCTTCTGGCCTCTGCGGGCACTGTACAACAAGGATGTACTTACATATACCAGGTATAACACTCATTCACATAAAATTAAAAAAAATAAAGAGGAAACTAAAGTTGGTGGGGGTAAAAAGCTGGGGGCAGATCTGACAGAAGATGAGGGAGAATGTTGAATGAATACCAAAATACATGGTATGAAATTCTCAAAGAATTAATAAAAATACTTTTATAAGTAAAAACAAAGAAATAAGAGCACAATGAGAATGTACCTTAATAGTGATGGCAAAAGAAGAGGGTTGTTCATTTAAATAAGTACTCAAGTATATATGAAAAGGTAGTATATCAGAGATATATATTACAGAGGAATTATAGGTTCCAGTGTTGGGTAGAATGTACAGGACATGTGTGCAAATGATCAGGACTCATAAAATTATCAAACAATTTGGGATATACCAAGAAATGGAAAGAGTTTTGCCCATTGAAAGGGAGGCAGAAATAGGTTGTAGGTGAAGAGGAATCAAGAGCTCCATTTTGAACTTGCTAAAAACTGAGAATCCTATAATATATAGCTGTTTAACTTTCAAGAAAGTAACTTCGTACATGGGGTCTGGAACTTAGGGGAGAGTCCCAGGGAGAGAAGAGGTCATGCAAGCCCAGGAGAATATAAGTTGAATGACCTTCCACCAGCCCCCTGGTATTGATTCTTTGAGAATTTCATTTAATCGATTTTTATCATATTCAATTTCCTCCAGTATTCTCTGGCTTTGTAGTCATAAATTCCTCAAATCTGTTTTTATCATAGTAAGTTTTTCTTTCTAGTTAGATTAAGGCTGATGGTTTTTCTTGGTATGATAGCCTGGACTGGCATCTGTAGTCTTTAAGAACTTGTAGAACATCAGTTCAGGCCTTGCTGGTTTTCAAATTCTCCACTGTAAAGTCAGATGTTATACTTACGAGCCTCACTTCAAATGTGATCCTCTCTTGAAACTTTCAATATCCTTTCTTTCTTGTGTGCATTTAATATTTTGATTATTATGTGATGTGAATGCTCTTTTCTACTCCTGTCTACTTGGTGGTCTGTATGCCTGTAGTGAGAGACATCTCTTTTCTTAGAGTTTGGAATTTTTCTTCTATGATTTTGTTGAAAATATTTTCTGTGCTTTTGACCTGGGTTTCTTCTCCTTCCTTTATACAGATTCACAGGTTTGGTCTTTCATAGTATCCTAGAGTGCTACATGTTCTGTAAGAGGAAGTGCGGCCTGAACAACCAGCGCATGCAAATGTGCCAAAAACATCCGGCTGAGGCAAACCTGTGTTCTGCCAAAAGACGTAGAGACAGCTGATGTGAAAATGGCCTGATACAGAGAGCCAATGAGGAACAGACATGACCTATCAATGGACCAATGGGACACGGGAGGGGGGATATAAGGGAGGCCCATATCTGCAATAAACTAGCTGCTCACACTGCCTGCTTCTCACCTGACTCCTGGTGTCTGTGTTGTGACTCTGTACTGACTCTACCCTAGCCTAGAGGGCCCTAGGACACTGGCAACAATGTTACATTCCTTTTTTTTTTTTTCTTTTGACTGAGTGATCCAATTCCTTTACCATATCTTCAAGCTTTGTTATTCTCTCTTCCATTTGATCCATTCTGTTGATCAAACTTTCCCATTGAGTTTTTTTATTTCACTGACTGAGCTCCTCATTCCAAGTTTTATCTCAGTTTGGTTTTTCTTCAGGAATTCTATCAAGTTTTGTTTTCATATCTTGGAGTTGTTTAAAATTATTTCATTCAACTGTGTTTTTATAGTCTTCATTCTAGAATTTATTCATAATCTTTTGTGTTCCTTGAACATATTTATATTTGCTAGTTTGAATTCATTGTCTTATGTATCAACTAAATTGCTTTCCTCAGGGAACATTATGATGGGGTACTAAATTCTGTAAGAGACATACTGTCTTGGTTTTCACATTGTTTGTGTTTTCACTATGGGACCACAGTATCTGGAGTTGGGTTATTGGTGATATGTCTTGGTATGCATATCTCTTCTCACCTTTGATGGGTTGCTAGTTTGAATTCATTGTCTTATGTATCAACTAAATTGCTTTCCTCAGGGAACATTATGATGGGGTACTAAATTCTGGAAGAGACATACTGTCTTGGTTTTCACATTGTTTGTGTTTTCACTATGGGACCACAGTATCTGGAGTTGGGTTATTGGTGATATGTCTTGGTATGCATATCTCTTCTCACCTTTGATGGGCATTTGGTTCTTTGTTTGCTGTTAGTCCGTTTTGTCAGGTTGTTGAGCAGCTGCATTGTACTTGTGGTTCAGTCTTGGGGCATCTCTGCTGTGTGAATGGTGTATCAGATGTGGTCCCAGGATAGCTCGGGATAAGTGCACTTCTGTGTCCAGGAACAAACCTTCTGTAGGGTTACAAGATTCTTGATGTCAATATTCAGAAGTCTGTGGAAGATCACCCTGCTTTTCTCATCGTCCTTGTTTGTCAGGGGCTGGAGTCATAGTGAGAATGAACAGTGTTCCTTGGGGCTATGCAGGACCACACAGGGACCTCAGGCAGAGGTGAGTGTGGTGAAAGCCAGGCTGAAGATCTCTACCTGGCGATGTGTTTGCAGGTCACACATGGTCACCGGGGGTCTGGTGGGTGGAATGTTTGGGGGAGGCAGGCTCTAGGAGTCCCTACCCTGTGTTGTGGTTCTAGGAGCTTTGATGCAGTCGTTCATGGTCAGGGGAAGGGAACTGTCTACCTGGGGTTGGAGACACTCAGAAGCTTTGAAGTCTAGGTACTGTGGAGGTGTGGTAGTTGGCAGACTAGGGGAAGACCTGTGGGAGTGCCTACCTGCGGTTGGGATTGCAGGAGCCACATGTAAGTAAACTTATAGTCTAATCTTTTCACTGCACACTCTGCTCACCTTGATGATTGAATTTCATAAATTATACATTCTATTGTTTTCTGTTGCATACGCCAATTTTTTGCAAGATCATTGTATTCCTATAGGGATCATTCTCAGAATACCTTTCTCTGAATAGTTTTAATAATATTTCTTTATTTTCTTTTTGTCTGAGATGGTTTGATTCTATTTTGGTACTATATATTTTTTTTCTTTATGTTTTCTTTCCTAGGCAGCAGAAACATTAAGGGGTCCAATGGCCATTGTTACACATGCATCTGGGATTTATTTTTAAACTCTTTAATGTTGCATTAACAGTAGTATATCACATCCTGGGACTATGACTTCCTGAGATTGATGAGGCAGATTTGTGCTATGCAGCTCAAAACCCTTGACACTTTTAGAACACAAACAGCCGGAAAGCCTCTCTCATTGGCTCATTCTCAGGATTTCTAGTAGTCTGTAGGATTTGACAAAAGAAATTACCTTTAAGGCTTTTCTCTATTCTCCCTTATTTATAATCTTTAATTTCTGTGGGCTTTACCTTTTAGGATGCCCCAGGCCTTTGCCAGCCCTCCATGCTTTCTGCTTATTATACCTTGGAGACTACAGTCTTTGTTCTTTGACCCCATTGTCATATGTCAGACAGACCTAACTGGAGAGGGCATCTATCTGCACAGTTGCCTGGATGGTAATGAAGTGGGTTCCTGCAAGTCTCTGGTTCAGTGAACACAACATGCTTCAAAGAAAGAAAGACAAATACTAGGCCACAGCATCTGGTGAACTGGGACTATAGTCTTGAGTGGGGTTGCCTCAGCACCTGGGCAGAGGTGGACTGGCAGATAGAAGCCATCAGAGTCTGGCTCTGGGGAGGTAGAGAAGGCAGTTGCTAACAATTCCAAAGTCACTAACTAGTTGCATGACCTTGAGCAAGTTATGGAAAGTTCTTTGTGCCCAGTTTCTCCTTTGAAACATAAAAGTGTTTACTCAAATGCTCCCTAAGAGGCTTGCACCTCTGACGTTCTCTAACAAATTTGCAGCACAATACTATTTTGGGCCATATGCTTTACTTCCTGCATTGATATTTTTTCACTGCTTTATAAGCTTTTGTTATTTCAAAGATGAATTTTGTTGTTAAAAATCTAAGCTGGCTCTAGTGTGCTGTTATATCGACACCTTTTTCATTTCTGTTAAGGACTTTGATGATAGCTTCCAGCGAGAGCATGGCAAAATAAAATCATGTTTTCTGTTCTAACATTTGTTTCATCTTCATCTTTTGTCAGTGGAATTATTGCTATTTGTCATTTCAACATTTCCCAGCGACACCTCTTTCCTCATTCGGGCCTTTGAAGTTTCTCTCATCAGAATGAAGGCTTTTGCTAATAGTTCTCCAGGGTTGTTTCTGTGTCAGGGAAAAGGGTTAGGCAAGGCTCTTTCAGTGCTAAGCAAGGTCTCTAGATGATCTACTCTGCCTCCTAATTAGAAGACTGACATTCAAGTAGAGAAAGGGCCAAGATTTAGAGAAAAATAAATCTGCCACAGGGCTCTGTGACTCATCCAGCTTCACTGGTACTGTGCTGTTACAAAACACTTTTATTACACAGTCCTACTTACCTTTCCCCCAGCAGAGGGTCACTGATCACTCTCCTGCAGGAGAGTGGGAACTCAGTACTTGGGGTTGGGGGAATCAGAGCTTCATCCTTTCCTAGAAGCAAGCTGTGGAGGAGATGCCCGAAGATCTTCATCCAGTAGCGCTTTCACTCATCTGCTGGGTCCCAAAGCTTTTCAGAAGGCACATAGAGAATGCTTATTAACTCTGTCTTCTAAGATTATTCACATACACACCTATCTCACACCATACAAATTCTGCATCAGACCACAATTCAATGTTGTTTTAGGGTTAGAATCAGGTATGTTCTATAAAATCTGTTAATTTTGCTATCCAGGGGAGG